CTCAATAGCTCATTTGATGTGCTGGGGAGCATCACTAACAGCTGCAGTGAGCAGAGGCACAAGTCCCTGGTGTTGACAAGAGCCTGTGTCACAACTGCCTTTAGTACAGCTCAAATATTTGCATTGTGGACATCATTTTGATAGAGGCCAAGCTCTGAATGTGCACAAAGCCTGACTGTGCTACCACACAATCCAAGTGCAAACTGAAGCAGTAGCAGTGCACAGGACTGACTCCACGGACAATCAACAAGTTTCCTATCAAGTCCATTGACAGACTAATGGGGAAGCTTCAGGGAGCTCACTTTGAACATTTCTTTCCTGAACACTGAATGATTCCCTTGGAGATAGCTACATCTGTTCAAAGAGATCTGTGATGCTTCTAAATGCATCAGAGATGGGGAACAAAACACTGGCTGGGTAGTATTTCTGCTTCACTTCTGTGAAATGAGTTATTCTACACAGTTAACAACAGCTCAAGAATTCAAGTCAGACCTGTGAGGAAAGCCACTGTATCAGAACCTAGCCTAAATGAAAGGAAATAAGCAGCACCTCCATTTTTATTTAACCATTTTATATGAGACAGAAGTTTAAAGTAGCAACTCTTACAAAGTTCTAAATCTTACCCGATCAACTTGTTTTACTTGTTTATATTCCACCTCATCTCTGTATCCAGCTTGCTGAAATCTGTATAAGTTCTCTACAACATCTGACCATATTTTGGCACGATGCATAGATTTTGGTTTGATGTCAGCTTCAGTCGTGACTTCAGAAACTTTAGGCATCTTCCTGAAATTAGACTTAAAAAAATTAGAGAAGACAGAAGCAAGTGATTTTGTTGGAGACATAGAGTAATGGATAGAACAAAATTTTAAAATAAAGGAATTACAGAGTTCAAAGTCTGAGGTTAAAAAAGGGAAAAGTTATAAGCAGTTGGAATCCAATTAAATGCATTACTTGATCTCAAACACAACTCATCTGTACTTTTGTGTATATCTTGACTCAACCCTCCTAAAATTTAACTGTGCATATTGATGAATTAAAAAATACTAAATGCAGTAATTTTGAATTTCCCATCTTGGCAGTTGCTGTCCCCTTGGGGCAGGCAGGCAGACTTCCAGATTTTTCTTTCTTGCTCCTGAAGTGGCCCCAAACTGGGAACCACAGAATGAAGATCTGGGCTGTTACTGAAGAACAGCAAACACTCAGGATGGGAGAGGAGGAGAAAAGAGAAATGCACAGTCAGTGACATGGCCACAGTGCCAATGGCAGATGAGGTCCTCAGAGATAAACTGGATAAGGATACAAGGCACACAGCCTGCCAGAATTCACCTTTCTGCCTTTGCCGAAGCAAACAGGCTGCCACTGACTTCCTCCTCACACAAAACCCATTTGTTCAGTCTGCTGAGACACTGCAAACAGGTTAATCAGCTGCTAAACCTGAATAGAGCAGAACTGGGACAAGCTGGAACTCAAACGAAAATTAATTAAATAGATAAATGAGAAAAAACCCAAACAAACTAAAAACAACAGCAACAAAAAAGCAATTAAAAATTGCAGACAGTGGATACTCGCCAGGGACGGATTTGAACTACATTAAAAAAATAAATAATTTGATTTCTGATTTTCATTGTATTTGCTTTCCTAAGCATATCTTATTTTGCTGCTCAAATAGAACTTCTGTTGCTTCTGCCAGCAAAACACACCCATCACTACCATGCCTAGGAGGTATGATCAGAGATGAGTCCTTTCCCAGTTTTGGAATGTCACCAAGCTTCAGCTTCATAACTAGGAAAGTATCTCCAAGGAATGAAAGCTTCTGGATTTTGCAGTGAGAAGATGAATAGTTTCCTTCCCTCTGGGCACCATGCTGCCTCCAAACCCTGCCCAATTTCTTTATTTGGCAAGTTCCTATATCAACAGAGAGCTTGAAAAGTTGAATGCTGAAATCATATCAAATGCAAAATGTCACTAAGTGAGTCTTTTAGAAAAGCAGAAATTGGGAAAAAAAGTCTTGCACCACATGATAAAAATATTTGGAAAAATTCTATCAGGAATTATTGTTATCACAATGTGGACTAGCAGAAAGAAGCCTGCACACCTGTCACCTGCTTGTATGAGAGCCAGCAGCAGACAAAGAAAAGGCCTTTCATCTCTTATCAAATACATTTATTAGAGACCAATAAAAATATGTAAAAGGGCATTTTTCTGGCACCACTAAACCATTTCTTGCAGTTCAATACTCCAAGCATTCTTTTACCAGGCACTGCAGCAGTTTTCAATTGAAAGCAGCCATTCACTAAACTAAAAAAGTGATTTTCCCACCTGGTTATGAGGTATCAAACACAAATTAACAGGATAAGCACAGATGCCTATTCTAAATTCAGGGTAGTAAGTAGGATAAGTTTGTTTCTCCTGTGCTGCAAAGGGCTCTTTTGTAGCCATCACAGGATTTTTCAAGCTCTGTATTTTTTATCAGTGTTTGATGAGAACTGTTGTCAGTCAATATTGACTTTAAACAGTCAATATGATTAGCAATAATATTAGATCCTAATAAATGCTAAGCTAGAATGCAATGAAGTGTCTTGTGATAACTTACATGTCCTTAGTGTTAAGTACTTCTTTACTGGACATGCTGGATTCACCTAATGAAGGTTTTTCTTCAACACATGTGGGTAGGTCTGGCTCTTCTTGAGTCACCATTAATTCACAGTGCCTGTCCACAGGCATTCCTGCCCAAAAAATAAAGATCATATATTGAAAGTTCCAGTTTACTGACTTCATATAATGAAAGCATCCCATCTTGAGGCTGCTATTTAAAAATTGTACTCTCTGTCTGTTGTGTGTCCAAGTTCCAGGCACAGAGCTGTTTTCATTGTACCAGAGCAGGGGACAGCTGTACTCCAGCCAGGAATTCAGGGAAGAGACAGAAGACAACAGACAGACAAAAGCAAATAAAGAAGACAAGAGAATGGTAAGAAAATATTCAGTTTAATATTAACACTTTCCTTTAAAGGGAATTTTTGAACAGTGAAGTGGACTTTGCTGAGATGACAATGTTTGCCAGCTCCTGATTTAGAGCAAACAGTGAATGCTTTGGCTTGGGAACACATTTTTTGATGTTAATCATAACACTGTGGAATCCTAACTAGCCTGGGTTTGCTGATGGTGGTTTCCTGAACAGTTACACAAGCTGTGAGGGTTTGTGGGAGGAAAGTGTCTGCTCCCTTAGGGCATCTGCCCAAGGACCACTTTCACTGCAACACGGGCTTACAGGAAAGGGAGGAAGACATATAAAAATACATGAGGACTCAAACCTGAGCAGCAAATGAGGAAGATGATGATGAGAACCAACCTGTGGCATGTGAAGAATGTGAGAATGTTTATTCCAACAAGGTTATCTGATTGGGGACCTTGTCAGTTGGGAAAAAGGGGGAAACAAACAAAATATGCAGACACAGCGACCTGACAAAACAAACACTGATAAACAAACCTCAACTCCAGCACTAATAGATGCTGGAGTTCATGAAACTACAGGAATGACATCCAGGGAGACCAACTGGACTTTGCACTGGTAAGATTTAACCAGGGGGACCCAGACTTGGAGAGGTGTGGGAATCCATGGAACTGTATAGATCTGTGCAGGAGCAGTGAGAAACAAAGATGGGAATAGACAGAAAGGAATATAAAATAAGCCTGTCCTGTGTAAAACAGGACCAGTCAGTATTACATGCCCAGCTAAGCCCCACACCTGATCATCACAGACTGTCCTACCCTATTGTATCTTCTTAAATCTTAACTGTCTCTCTGCACAAACTCTGTATTCCACATGTGTGTGTGTGTGCTGCAAGGACAAAGTGCCAGCTCCCTGGTGACATTTGCATCTGAGTGAACACTGGTGCCAGCTCTGGGAGTCATACTGGGGGTATGAGCACCTAAGATATCTGGTGTAGGTGGGGGTACTAAGTTTCCATCCACCAGAGCAGGAACAGCATGTATCCTGAAAAATTAGGGCTGTCATGAGTGAGGGGCTCCATGTCAGCAGGTGGAGCAGGACTGTGGGTCACAGCCTGTGTGCCTGGTGCTGGGGAGGGGTGGTGTCTGTACCTTCACCCATTTTGGTGTACCTAGGGTGAATGCCCATATTCACTGGCAAACTTGAGGCTGAAGAGTTGGGGCACCTTGGCTCCAGGCCAGGGTATCCAGCAGGCCAGGGAGCCCTGCTGCATCCTCAGCCCTGACAAGGAGCACCATGTCCCCAGGCAGGAGAGGCCCTGGGGCACAGCAGAGGGAGGAGATGGCGGTACCGCCTACATCACTTAACCCAATTCAGCAAACACAGGACCTGCTTGGGGTCTCAGAGCCAGTAAGGTGTTTCATAGGATGTTAAGGGGTTGGAAAGGCCCTTAAAGATCATCTCGTTCCGACACCTTCAGTGAGATCGGTTTGGTAAAAGCCCCATCCAACCTGGCCTTGAACTGTCCCAGAGCTGGGGCAGCAAAACCTCCCTGGGAAACCAGTCCCAGCGCCTCACTGCCCGCACTGTAAAATAATTTTTCCTAATATCTAATCTAAGTTCCCCTCTTTCCAGTGGCTTCTGCCTACTCTACCCAACAGTTCCCTGTACATCCCGAGGTGCTCAGGCAGACATCCCGGCCTGCACCCGTAACCGCGCTACGACCGTAACTTCACCCTGCTCTCACCGCCCTGGCCACAACCCACCCCCCAGCCCTTAAGGCGGCCCACCTCGGTTCAAGAGACGCAAAACGGGGACTCTTGTCAGGCGGGGCGGGGAGGGGCGGTGGCCGAGGCGCGATGGCGGCGCCCTCACGGCCTCCCCCCGGCCCCTCACGGCCGGCCCCTCACGGCGCCAACGGTCGCCAGGCAACCGCCCGCCATGGCCTCTTTAAAAAGGCCGTGCCCGCCCCTGATAGGCCGGCGCGGGGCGGGGCCGCCTCGTGATTGGCTGGGGGCCGGGCGGGCGAGAGCGCGCGGCGCCCGCCATGAGCCGTTTCGGGGGCCGCACGCGCGAGTACCCAGCGCTGTCCATCGACCGCTTCGATCACGACAACCTGCGCGCGCGGGCCTTCTTCCTGTCGCACTGCCACAAGGGTGAGGGCCCGCCGGGAGGCGCCCCCGCGCGTCCCTCCGCCCGCCTTCTGTCCCTCCCCCTGTGCCTCCCTCCCCCTGTCCGTTGTCCCCGCCCCGCGTGTCCCTCGGCTGACCCCGTGCCTCTCTCCCCAGATCACATGATGGGGCTGCGGGCGACCGCCCTGAAGAGGCGGCTGGAGGGCAGGTACGGGCTGGAGGCGGGGCGGCCTCGGGGGGAGGCGGCCGGTGCGCGGCAAAGCTTGAGCTAAACAGTGCGAGGAACTGCCACGGGTTATCGATCCCGGGATAGGAACGGGGCAAGGACACCTCCCGCTAGACCGAGTTGCTCCTACCTGGCCTCGGACTCTTTCAGGGATGGGGTATCCACAACTTCTCTGGGCAGTTTGTTCCAGGGCCGCACTACCCTCGCTCGTTGTATAAAACTTCTTCCTTGTATCTCATCTAGGCCTGCCCCCTTTCAATTTGAAGCTAACTCCCCTTGTCCTTGTAGAAAGTCCCTCTCTATAATTCTTAAAAGCCCCTTTTAAATATCAAATGGTAGCAGTAATGTCCGCCCAGAATTTTCTTTTCTCTAGGCTGAAGAACCCCCAGGTATCTCAGCCTTGCTTTCATAGGAGAGGTGCTCCAGCCCTCTGTGCATCTTGGTGGCCTCCTCTGGAGCTGCCCCAACAGGTCCCTGTCCTTGCTGTGCTGGGAGCCCAGAGCTGGTGCAGCACTGCAGGGGGCTCTCACCACAGTGGAGCAGAGGCACAGAACCCCCTGCCTTGTCCTGCTGCCCAGTGCTGGTGATGCAGCCCAGGATAAGGTTGGCTTCCTGGGCTGCATGTGCCCACTGCTGGCTCATGGCCAGCCTCTCATCCACCACTACCCCAAAGTCTTCTGCAGGGCTGCTATTAACCTATTTATCCCTCAGTCTGTTTTGTTACCAGGGGTTGCCCAGACTCAGGTACACTTGGCCTTGTTGAACTCCATGATGTTCATGAGGATCTCTCTGTTATTTCCTGGAAGTGTTGGTGCACAGAGACAGTGCTGTGTCTGTGCAGTGAAGGGGCCAGCTGTGCTCTCTGAGGTGTATAAGCAAGCAGGCAGCCAGCAGTTTGAGGGAGACAGTTATTTCCTTCTGGCCAGCATGTGTGAGACTTTTCTGGGGTTCTGTGTCCAGCCTGGGCTCCCCTGGATGGTAATTGATAGGTGTTAGCATCAGCACGCTGGTCTGGGGCCAGGGCCATGTGATGTGTGAGGAGAGGCTGGGAGAGCTGGATGTCTTCAGCCTTAGGAGTAGGAGTCAATCATATATCACTGCTTGCAGGTAGGTGTAGAGGAGATGGAGCCAGACTTTTCATGGAAGTGCATAAAGAAAGGGCAAGGGACACCTTTTTCATCATGAGGATGACCAAATGTGGTAATGAGCCCAGGGAGGCTGTGGGCCAGTTCCTAGGCTCTCTTTGATTTATTAGAGTAGATATTGTATCTTCTCTGATGCAAGCAGAGAATCTCTTTGCTCATCAGGTCTCTGTGCATCAGCTCAAGCTTCATGAGGAGTATTGTGTGTTCTGCTGTGTGCTGGCTGTGCCAAATGTTCCAGGGGTGTGTGCAGGGGTAGAGAAACAGCAGATAGGTCATGACCACGTACCACATGCTGCATTTGTGTCTGCAAACCATGCAGGCAGGGGTAGGTTTGGGTTTGCTGTGCAGAAGAGAAGTCTGCAGGCTTCCAGCTCTGCAGGTCTCCTCACATGAGAAGTTTCTGAGGGCAGGGTTTGATGTTCTGGGTGCCAGGTGCTGATGTGTTGTTAGATTGTTCCTCATGTCTACTTTAAAAAACATTATCTGTGTTTTTTGTCTCCTCACAGCTTGAAAGTTAAACTATACTGCTCACCAGTAACTAAGGAATTGTTGTTGACTAACTGGAAATACAAGTTTTGGGAGAATCATATTGTGAGTTTGTGTTTATTTTGACAACAGCACTTATCAAGAAGTGATTCTCAGAAAGAAGCAGCTCTCTGCTCCTCAGGAGTGTCTGAATATTGGTGTTGATAGAGTGTTTCAGGGCTTCAGTGCCAACAATGTGCCTTTCCTGCTGCTTGCTATGTAGTATTGGTTTGTTGCTGTTTGTTGTTTAATTATTTTTCCCCCCACAAAATTTTTCCTTTTCTCTCAACTTCAGCTTTACATGGCCTTCATCCTCACATTGTTCATTTGTACATCTGAATTTGTATTCATTTTCTTACCTTGCTCGTGTCTCTTTGCTTCTGTCCTTTATTTCTCTTTGGCTTCATTTAAAGTCTCTTATTGCTTGGAGTGTGTATAATCTGAAGTTATATGAATTTCTGATTGCTTTTTGGAAAATGAACTATAACATGAAGAAGTTGTAGTATAAAATCACTGAAAAACGTAATAAATTTACATGATTTCCAGTGTTTGGAGCCAGACTGCAAAGGATCAGTGTTATGTACAAGTGTGACATGAAGTTATTTCCTTCCCTTTGCAGATGCAGGCATTATAAAATGAAACATGAGCTTTTTTACAGAAATAAAAATAATTATATCATAATTATTTTTATTCATATAATATATTATTATATATTATATAAGAGTTACATAATAATTATTAATTATAAAATAGGCATTGTAAAACAGAACATGAGGTTTTTTACAAAAATAAAAATAAAAACCTCTGCACAAATACAGGAAGATGTCCTTCCAGTGATTTGTGGGCTCTGCTTCTGGTAATAGGGGGCAGTGGGAAGTCCTGCAGCACAGAGTTGTTCTAGCAAGATCCACTGCTGTGGGACTGGGATTTTTGGGCTTTGCAGTCATCCAGAAATAAGGCATGTGATCCATCCAGAGGAACAAGAGCTGTTGCTGATAGAAGTCCAACATGCTCTAACTCTTTTAGGCATGCACACCTTGGCTGAGGTATCTCCATTTAATTTTTAGATAACTTTAAGGAAAATTTATTCCACTGGAAATGGAAATTTATGACTTACTATGGGAAAATGAGTTTAATTTTACAGGCTTAGCATTAGCCACAGTGAGTGCTACAGATGTCTACATAATAAATAACTAGACATAAGCATGAAACAGAACATTCAGTAAATCCTATAATGCAATTAATCATTTTGTTACAGGTTGCATTGGAAGTTGAAACACCAACTCAGATTTCTTTAGAAGATGAAACATCTGGTGAGGTAAGTTATAGGGAAAAAAGATTTGTATGTCAGTCATGGGCAGCAATGCTGTTTACATGAGTACAGGAAACACAGCTGCAGCATCTGAGGTGCACAAGCTATTTTTAAAATGTATGTGCCCCTCCTCTCCTGTAGTGACAGAAACAGAGGTGGTAGTTCTAAACTAAAAAGGGCTCGATTCAGACTAGATAGAAGGAAGAAGTATTTTACAATGAAACATTCAAGGTCAGGATGAGGCTCTGAGCAGTCTGATCTAGTTGAAGATGTCCCTGCTTATTGCAGGGGAGTTGGACTGGATGAACTTTAAAGGTCCATTCCAACCCAAACTATTCTGTACTTGCTCACCAGGAACCAAGGCTGTAGAACTGTCTTCTGTCCCACTTGCTTTAGAAGCACCATAGAATTCTTGGTCCTCTCTTCTGCCATGACAGGATGGTGGCTGCAGTGTGAAGAGACTCTCTGGTTTTAAAGCAATGCTAAATGCTGCAGGAGGCTGTGGGGAGTAATGCATTGCTCTCACTGTGCTGACAAAAGTACTGGTAGTACTTACTACAGTCTGAAAATAATGCTAACCCCTCTCTTCCAGAAAGAAGATGTAGTGGTGACACTTCTGCCAGCTGGTCACTGTCCAGGTTCAGTCATGTATGTCCTTTCAGCACTTTAAATGTTTCACCACCTGGCATTTAATGAGGAGCTTGACCCAAATGTTGCTGTCTGCAGGTTTCTGTTTGAAGGTGAGAATGGCACTGTGTTGTACACAGGGGATTTCAGGCTTGCAAAAGGAGAAGCAGCCAGAATGGAGCTTTTGCATTCAGGGACCAGGTGAGCTACTTGTAGAATATAAAAAGAACAGGAGATCATATGGCATGGGCAATTTGGCCAGGTATTCATTATTTTTTCCACATTTTTTAGTCTAGATTAAATATAATTGCAATACTGCAGTTACAAGCCCCCTTTGACGTATTCTTTGTAATCAAGAGGTAGAATTACCTCCTTTTGAAGAGAGAGGAAGTGGTGTATCTTAGCACTGTGGTATAATGTTTGCTCTGTATTACATTTCTATCCTCCAGGGTAAAAGACATCCAGAGTGTGTATTTGGACACCACTTTTTGTGATCCCAAATTTTATCACATACCAAGCCGGGTAAGTCTAATAAATTGTGAGAAGAAAGGCCCTTAAAGCTGTTAATTCATTAACTACCCCTTTGTTAGGAAGGTCTTACAAGGCAATGCCATTTTGCATTACTAAATCCCAGCAATCTGGAAGCATCTTCCAAGATGATTGACAGCACTTCCCACACTTTTCAGGAGGAATGTTTAAATGGGATCTTGGAGTTAGTGCGAAGCTGGACCTCACTGTCTCGTAATCATGTTGTGTGGCTGAACTGCAAAGCTGCCTATGGATATGAGTATTTATTCATAAACCTCAGCAAGGAACTTGGAATCAAGGTAATGTTTCCCTAATTGCTGCTTTGGAACAGATCCTCAGTGATGATTGTGGCCAGCACTGAGGTGCCAATGGCTGTTCAGAGGGCTGCTCTAGGCCACAGTTATGCCTGTTTCATTAACTTCCCTTGAAAAGTGCAGTTGTGCTCAGAATGAGGTAGCTAGTTGACTTCAGGCTGGAACATCTGGACTTTCCAAAGAGAATTTAATTCCCAGTTTTCAAGCTCAGTGTTTACCTCACTCCCTTTTATTTTGTGAATGATAAAAGTCATTTGCACACAGCATTAATAGTATATATATTGTGATTTTCTCATGAGTATTCATCCTTGTTCATATAGGTAGTATGTTCTACTTGTTCTAGATGTCCAAGTTTTGGCTGACACATCTCTGCTTGGACATTTTTGGGAGTAATAATTTAAATACCTGCCAGCATTTGAGCAGAGCAGAATCACATCTATACAGCTGCTCCAGCTGCAGTCTGGCAAACACTAATAAAGAGTAAACTCTGGCTTTCTCTAGGTGCACACGAACAAACTTGATATGTTCAGGAACATGCCAGAAATCCTGTGCCACGTTACCACAGACCAGCGCACGCAGATTCACGCCTGTCGGCATCCTCGGGTGCGTTCCTTCTGCACAGTCCCCCCTGACCTTGCTCTGAAAATGAAAATGTGGTTATAGGTGCTGATGTTTGGGGCCTCTTGGCTTAATGAAAACTGGTGAAATGGTGACTTAATGTGAAGCAGAGTAAAAACCTTGGTTTGTGGGTTGAAGTTGTTTTGTTTTGTCTTTTAAGAAAAAAAAGGGAAAAATATTTTAGCTTATGCTAGAAGTAATTTAATTGTATTTGAAGCCTGAAAATTGTTTTTAAGTGAATTGAACAAGCAGCAGTGTAGATCAATCAGGTGTTACCCATTTCAGTGTATCAAAAGCAGCTCAGATGGTGCCTGTGTGGTTTTAGTATGTAGCCATCCATTTCCAGGATGTCTCTCAGGCTGGGGGCTCCAGCTTGGAGGAACACAGGTAGAACCTGAGATGGCACACTGGGGCATTGGTCTCTGACTGATTTTCTTTTCCAGCTGCACTAAAGAACCAAGGTGTTACAGGGTCTTTCAAGGTAATTAGAAGTGAGAGAGGAACCTGGTTTGGCTAGATACTATGCTGCTTAATTTCTGGGTAAAAAAGGTCACCATTGAAGTTAATTTTATATCCATTGGACAGGATGATGACTGCTTCCGAGGGAACAGACTGCCCTGTGGGATGACTTGCCTCAATGGAACTCCCCTGCAAGTGATCAGCATCAAACCCTCCACAATGTGGTTTGGGGAAAGGAAGAAGAAAACCAATGTAATAGTGAGGTGAGCATTTGGGCCACCCTGAAACCTGTTGTTTCAGGTTTGTATCTTGCCTGATACGTGTATAATTGAATCTCAGAATGGACTTCAAGAGTGGGTTATGCTGGTCTGTTGACCAGGATGAAGAGCAATTACCTAATTTTTGTGCCTCTTCTGTTTTTTTAGGACTGGGGAGAGAACCTACAGAGCTTGTTTCTCTTTCCACTCTTCATACAGTGAGGTTTGTATACTTCTAGTACTGAGTATACATTGATTAAAAAAAATAGAAAAGGATTTTGATTATTCTGGTGTGGATGACATGACTTGTCATAATAAGAAAAAACCTGTCAGTAATAAGACATAAGGACATAGGAAGTTCTGAATACTGATGACAAAGAAATTCATTTTAATGTAGCTGCAGAGGACCTTGTTAAAGTAGGGCAGGATTGAAAGTCTATTTCCTGTTCTGTTGTCAATGTATAGGTCACATCTACAATTGTTTTGACTGCCTTTCTATTTTAGATTATTGTGTAACTATGCAATGTTTAAAGCATGGAGTTTTAGTTGACAATATGTTGTTTATCTGCTGTGACTTAGATTTGGGTGGGTTTGCCTTCTTTTCTCAGCCCACATATTTAAACCAAATTTTCTCTCATCCTGACAGCTGCTCTTGCCCCTTTTCCTGTGTTAAAAGACTAAAAAGAAATTGGTTATGGCATCCTCCCCACAATCACACACTTTCATTTAGCATGACTTGATACAGCTCTAAAAACACTTTCTCCTAAGAAACTGAACTGAAACTGGATCAGTTCTAACAATGAACTGTCACAAAGTCTTGTACTACAAAATGGGGGAAGGCAGTACTGTTTTTAACCTCCTGATTAAGTTTAAATTTGCTCTGCCATGGAGAATTTTAAATGGAGGTCCCAGTGTGGAATTTGCTGGTGGAATATGGGGATTAGTGTAACTCTAACACTCCCACTTCCACATGCAAAAGTGGATGGGTCCTTGTCTTGGTTTGAGACAATTAAAGGTGAACACAAGTTGTCTCTCTTTATAGGTTCAACTAATCCCTTTCTACCAGTAAGGAATTAACTGGAGTAGATAGAAGTGAAAAAATAACAGTTTCCTAACAAGTGCACCAGCAACAGGCAAAAAACATAACAGTAAATGACTGCTAGATACAAAATTGCACTAACATTGAGGGTCACCCCAGGGCAGCCCTGATGTATGTACAGATAGCAGGGTAACCTGCAAGTGTTTCCAGTGCTCAGCAGGAGTGCCCCAAACCAGACACAATTCCTGAAGAAATTTACTGGAGATCTTCTAGAAGATGACAGAGTAAGGCTTGGAAAAAACAGTGTGTTTTGTCATAATGGGCTTTTACAGGGCACTTCAGGAGAGACTTTAGGAATAGGAAAGGAATACCTGATCTGCATAACTGGAGACTTGAACTCCAGTAAGAAAAATGCATATTTGAGAAGATCAGCAGCAGTAAGGACAAAAGGACAAGGAACCACTGGATCACATTCCAGGTCTGCCCAGCCTTTTCTTTCAGGGACAGGGATGGTCTTGTGTAGTAACTGATGATTGCAGTGAGGTGTTAGGGGAGGCTGAGTTCTCAGCATCCTTTCAGGTCTGTTTCCTTTTTCCAGAGATACCCACTTTGACAGAGTTGTGGGCTACATTGGTCTTTTCATAAAGACTACTAGTAGTACTTTTGGATGTGCTTGCATCAGTTCTGCCATCATTCTCCATCAGGAATGCCCAAGTGACATTCTTAACTGTTGATGTAATTTGTTAAATTGCTTCTTCTTTTCTGGATTTCAGATCAAGGATTTCCTGAGCTATATCTGTCCTGTGAACGTGTATCCCAATGTACTGCCAGTGGGTGGGACAGAGGACAAAGTTATGGAAATGTAAGTGACAAGGGGCTGCTGGAGGGGATGATCCAAACTCTGTTCCTGTAAGAACAATTCCCCTCCTGAATACCAGCATCTCAGGAGGGCCACTGCCTTTTGCTTTACTTGTCTGATAATTCAGATTTTTTTCTATATTCAGTCCCACAGACTTGGGTTTTCTGAAGCACACGTGTATGTTGAGCTGAGTCTCAGAGTTTGTATTCTACTTCTGTCTGTGTGTAGAGGCTTTTCTGCTGGTGAACTCTGTTTGGGAGGAAGCTGAATATAGATTCATCTCACTCTGTCCTGTGACCCATTTCTATTTATCATTGCTACTTCTCAGAAGTTTCTTTTAAAGGTGGTTTCTCTGGGGACCTGAACTCCTCCCCTGCACAGCATCAGAGAGGCCAGTTCTGCTGTGCTGCTGTAGATGTTGGCAGCTTAAAAAGCACCCTCAGGGAGCAGGAGAGCTGTGGTGTCTCTTAGTCTGGACAGAACAAAGATTCCTGTTCATTTTTCCTTTCCTCCTTATTAAGAAAGGAGACTTGCACTTAATAATCACTGAATCTGTAGTCAGATTTGGAACCCTGTCAGCTTGTCTTCTATAAGGAAGGAACTAGATGGTTTCCAAAAAATGTACATGTTTTAAGGTAAATATATTGCAAGGACAGATTTCTACCTTTCAGCTGCTGAAGCTCACCAATGAATCAAAGACTTTGCCCTAGGTATTGCTGCCTTTGCTTTAACATTTTTGCTGCAGTGCCTATGAAAGGCATGGAGCACTGTACTTAAAACAAGTTAAAGGATTTACTCTTGCTCCTGAAAGCATCTGCTGAGTTCTAAATATTAACTGCTTTTTTCATTCCCTTCAGATTAAAGCCATTATGCAGGTCATACAGGAGAATCATGGAACCCAGGTACAAGCCCTTAGGAACCCTGAAGAGAGCCCACAAGAGAGAATTATCTGATACAGGTAAAGGTTCTGCTGCTGCTACTGCACCTTAAATGGAAGTCTGAGACTAAGCAGAGGTGCCAAAAGCTTTGGTGTTCACAAAGCTGTGTGTTCAAAGCAACAGCTGGAAAGGAGAAATAGAAATTATGTGAACTTGGGTCTTAGGAGGAGGAGAGAGCACTAACTGTGTGAAAACACATTTGTTTGCAGTCTTAAAATGTACTTCATGCTCAACAGCCCTGTAAGTTTTTGGATGGAGTTTGTTCCCTCAGTCCCAGCCCAGCCCTAGGAGAGCTTGTTCTGTCTCTGTCAGGCATTGTGCTAGACAAGGCAAGGCAAACACTGACAATGGCATCCTGCAAAATCCCAGCTGGGTTAAAAACTATTTTCATCAATTTATACGAAATGAATTTTTATTAAAACTTTGCTCTCAATAAGATTTTAGCAGAGATGTGAACTTTTCTTAGTGATCTTCTGTTTGTTTCTTCCCAGATGAAGATGATCTCTTTGATTCAGAATTAATTTCTTCAAGGCCTAAGATTCCAAAAGAGCAGAGAGAGGAGTGCAGGCCCTCCAGCACAGGACAGGCTGAAAACTCTGAAGGAAACATTAATGAGAGCACAGAAAGTTACAAAGGGACCACAACTTACACCTCCCTCAAGGTAGACTTTGTGGACTGTGAAGAATCAAATGATGATGATGATGAAGATGACGAAGATGATGATGAAAAAAATACAGTTCAATTTCTTTCCCAGGAGCCAGATGCCACTTCCACAGCCAATTTCAATGGAGTAACTAGTGACCAGCAGGAGTCTAATGCCAGTGTCCCTTGCTGGGATGAATTTTTTACAGGTAATAAACTAGAGGAGAGCTCTGAAAATGAGGATCACCTCCCATCTTCAGCAGATGCTGGTGGGTCCCAGTCACTCTTCAGCGATTCAGATGGAGTGAGTGACTCAACACACATCTCCTCCCAAAATTCTTCTCAGTCAACACATATATCAGAGCAGGGGAGCCAGGGCTGGGACAGCCAAATGGACACAGTGCTCATCACCTCCCAGGAGAGAAGTGCCCTGGAGCTCAGCACAGGTGGGAGCAGAGCAGTGGTTCCTGTGCTGCAGGAGAGTCCCAGGGACACTCAGCTGGACAGCAGCAGGGGGCAGCCACCAGGTGAGGACAGACCTTGTGCCCACGATGGTGCCTGTGGCTTGGAAAGCAATGGCTGTGAGAAAGCTGCAGAAGATGGCACTGCCCACATTCTGGATGTGCTGGCAGAAATAAGTGACAGCTCCAGGACTCCTGATCTGGAGCTGAGGAGGGACTCCCAGAGCTCCTCTGACTTTGAAATTCCCTTGACTCCTGGTGCTGAAGCGCCTCAGCCAGATAAACTGCACCATTTATACAAGAAGCTTGCAGCAGGTGAAAACATAATCAGTGAGAAAAAAGTCTCCTGAGAACAGGTATAACTGATTACCTTGTGGTAATGCCCAGCATGTCTATTAATACCTGAATTATTTTTCTCTTTCCTGCTGATTACTGTCTGCAGTTATGCTGAGTCATGCTTAATTCAGAAGTATCTTACTGTCAGAACCAGGACTTTGCAGCCTGTGTACCTTTACTGTTCCTTCCATGAAATACTGAAAAGGAAGTATTCCCAGGAGGGACAGTAAAAGCCTTCTACCTCCCAAGGTTCAGTTCTCCAGGACTGTAAGTAGACAAAAAATGGACCAGACAAAACTAAGAATAGTACACTAAATGAAATTTAGTGTTTATCATGAGCTCTAAGAGTTTGCCTTTGTAATGTGATCTCAGGTTTTAATAAAATAGCACATTATTAACTGTGGGGAGGAAGATAAGAATGACCATGCAAACAAGGCAGTTGTAATTTGGCTTTAATCCCTCTTAGCACTGTTTATCATTATTATAACAATTTAATCAGTACTCACTGCAGTTATTTTTAAAAATTACTGCAGAACAGATCAGAGAATTACTGAGGTTGTGAGGGGGTTTTGTTTTAAATCAAATTGTTCATTTCAAAAAGTCTCTGTTGACACTGAGCTTTAACTCCTGAGTTAGGTACTGCAGACTGCTGTCTATGCTTCACCTCCAACTGCAAACAACTTGTCATCACTTCCTTTGTGGTCTGGTTTGTTCTGAATTATTCTTCAGAAAAATTTGAAATCCTGTGGTTTCCAAGTTAACAGCCCTGTCCTGCTCTGGCAGGTAACTCAGCCACAGAAGGTAACTTGGTGTTCCAGACAGGCTCTTGTACTACAAAAACTTCACCTCCTCTACAACACTCTGTAGACTTTACTGTTTTAAATCAAGACAATATCAATCAACACTCCATGCATGTGTGCCATCATAACTGCCAAAGTTCTTAGCTTCTAACATAGAAATGTAATTCAGGTTTTTCCTAAACTAGAGTGCCCACAAAATATCTAAACCACAGAAGTTATCTAAAAATCCCTGAGGTTTTCCATCCATGGTTTTAAGTCCCAAAGAATTAAACATAATTTAGCACAACATCCCTCCCCTCTGAGTGTGCCTTCAGTTGTTGTGCCATGTTTAGTGACATGTGAATGTTAAACCAACCAGTATTCTGTCACAGGGAACAGAGGCAGGAAGGACAAAGCACTGCCATAATCTAGGTATGATTCTAAGGATATTAAAGAGCCAGTATTTCTCCACTGTTACCTTTCCTGCTGTTTGTGGGATTTGTTAACCTAAATTCCAAATGTGATCCACCAACTCTGGGGTTTTTTTAGCAAGCCTGAGTGAATGGAACTGTTGTTGGAACTACCTCTGTGAATAAAGTCAGACAAAACAGAACCTCTTGTGTTGGCTCATTTCATATCTGAAAACTGCATGTAAGTTCAAGGCTGCCTTTAACAGAATGCTCAAATATACAGGAATCTGTCGCAGACATCTTTTTGTGAAAATCCTTTTCTTTAGGATTTTCCCTTCTGAGAAGGTGAGGCCTCAGAGACAAAATGCAAACAATGGTTATTTGCTGCTGTGGAATGCAACAGGTGGATTTTTGATTGGGCCATCTTGAATGTTCACAATTAATAGCCAACCACAAACCATATAGCTTAGACTCTCTGTCCAAGCCACAGATCTTTGTTATTCATTCCTTTCTATTCTTAGCTAGCTTCTGAGAGGAAACCTTTCCTTTTATTTCTTTTTAGTATAGTTATAATGTAATATATATATATGTAATATATATATTACATTATAACTATACTAAAAAGAAATATATATTACATTATATATTACTATATAATGTAATATATATATATCATCAAATATGTATATATCATCAAATATATATATATTACATTATATATTTGATGATATATCATCAAATAGCATCAAGCCTTCTGAACGTGGAGTCAACATTCTCATCTCTCCCCTCATTCAAGAACCCCTGTGACCACTGTCACAGGAATCCAGTCTGTTCAGGCAAGTGTAAATTTATACCAGTTCTCACCAGCCCTAAACTGAAAACACATCACTTCCTCCTGGTCCCTCTGCTGGAGTCCTTAACACTCGTAGAAATTTTGGGTACAAGCCAGGAATTAAGAGGTTGCAGTCTTAAAGCAAATTCTACAACTAATTCAGACAGGCTAATTTTTTTTTTAAAAATGACAACAACAAGAGAAAAACTAAATTTAATTTATTTTATCAAAAACTAGGAAGACAGCAATACTAGAGATGACACAGTATGAAAAGAAAATGTTCCTGAGCTTACAAACTGCATATTCTAATACAGTTCCTAAAACATACATTAAAAATAATCAAAAGATTGACTTAACTTGGAGATAAAATAAATAGACAATAGCTTTTCTTACAGGTGATCTTGCAGCTTTAGTTTTGCTACAAAAAATAGAACAAACAAAAAAAGAACAGCTGGAGGGCAGGCCACAGGTTACCAGCCCCCAAGAAGTGCATACACACGACTGAATTGGTGACCATGATGATGCCAAAGGACCACAAAGCAAAACAAAGGCAGAAGCTGGGCTGGTTTAGCTTCCCTAAGAAATTGAAAACAGCTATTTCTCCATTTCCAGTTTGGCAATTTTCTGCCAAACTCATAAAAACAGTAAAAGGAGTTTTAAAAGTGACACAGTGTCCCGTTAAGCTAATTAATTGACTGCAATCCAAATACACTGTGAATACATAAGTATAAAATACTGTTCAAGGCTTTTATGTTGGAAACTGGATCCATGGGTTTCCTTCAAATAAATACAAAATACTGCTACCTCCCAGGACATAAATTAACAGTTCTTTATTTATGGCAGAAGATAACACATATATCCTTAACAAACAGCAGCGTTATTCCAGTGCTGGTAATAACATTCTGTGCCTCTGGAAAAGGCAGACACCGCACTCCAGTCCAACTGCCACAGCTGTTACCTTCTAAAATGCAGCTACTTGGAATATTTCAATCAGACTGGGCATGGGCAGAGCCAGAGCCTGCCCCGTGCCCGCGGCACAGGCGGGGCTGGAGTGAGGAATCCACCTCCTGCCGCAGCCGCTCCATCCTGCAGGGACAGCGCAGGCTGCGGCGCTAAGGAGCTGGAGCCTGTGCCTTCCATCCACATGGAATGCACTGCTCATTTGAGCTACATGCAAGGAAAAGCACTAATGGCTCCAAACGATGCAAGATCATCTGGAGTTTGCTGACGTTAAAGCTCCACATTCCACTTAAAACTTTAAATTAAAAAAAAAAATCATTAGCGATATGGCATGATAAAAACTGATGAGATTCAGTGTTTATCAACTGTGGATACAGGTTAGCCAGATTACATCAAATACTTTTAAATCTAAGCAAACTTCTTCCTAATCATTAAGCAATATAAAGTCTCTATTTCAATGTGTATCTCTGTATTGTAGATTACAAAACTCACACAGCATTTCCAGCAGCCCATGCTCTTCACCAAAAGTGTAAAACTGATTTTGGCTAGTAGCATATAAAATGTCATTTGCTACCAAAGAGCCAGATCTTCAGTACAAATGCAACTGTGCTTCTTAAGAAACAACCTTGAAATGCTCTTTTTGAAGTGCTAATAATTAACATGGAATTTAAGGCATTTTCTAACTAATTAAGTAAACAGTTACATGCTAGGTACTTGACTTCATTCACCTGAGCCAACAGCTGTGCACCTTATAAAGATAACTAGCTGACCTATGATACATAGCCAGCATCCAGCTATGGAGCATCCATTTATGGAGCAACATTATTCTGCCTGACCCTGTCAACATTTACATGACTGGTAAGCAATAAGCAAGTTTTACAAGCTCTGAATCCACGAGAAAAAAACGTGTGGATCATTCCTAGAGCATGGACCTTGGCTGTGACTCCACTCATCACCCACCTCAACTGCCCTTCAGTGGTTCTGAAGCCAAGCAAAACTTAGCATATGTTATGAATAAATTGAGACAACTTTAAGATGATCAGGAAAAAGAAAGATGACTCAAGCAGCTGAAGAACAGCACATTTCTCAGCCTTTACATTCAAGAACATCTTACAAATGTCTACAGCAAATGGGTATACTCACCCCTAGTCTAACTTCACTGAAGTTAACATTTTTGCAACCAGAAAATACAGGCCTAGTATCTTAGAAGTCTGTCACTAGGTAAAAAAGACACAGTATGTAAAAATTTAACCAAGTCGTGAATATACATCAATCCCAGGGCTCTTTTGCACCTAACAGATAACAGACCATATCTCCACACTGCACTGGCTTTGTTAGACAATGGGCTGCTCTCCTTAACCTTTTGCTATCTATTTCCAAACTGTAGCCAGCAACTTGTTTCAGCCACGACTGCCAAATTTCTGTAATGAAAACAAACAGCAAATGTTACTTCTGACAATTCCATATTTACAAATGCTCTGTGGAACTGCAGTCCTCCTATAGAATCCTAACTAAAAATCAGAGCATAACAACTGAAAACATTCTACATAACATCAGCTAAGAAGTTCAAGTTTTACATTTGGGATCTGTTAATACCAATTACAGAATCACAGAATCAATTAGGCTGGAAAAGGCTTTTGAGGTCATCGAGTCCAACCTATGACCAAACACCATCTTGTCAACCAGACCATGGCACTGAGTGCCACATCCACTCTCTTTTTTAAACACCTTCAGGATGCTCCTCTCTGAGCAGCCCATTCCAGTGTCCAATCACCCCTTCTGTGGAGAAATTTTTCCTAATATCCAACGCCCAGCACACCTTGAGACTGTCTCCTTGTCCTATTGCTGGATCCCTGGAAGACTGACCCTCACCTGGCTACACCCTCCTGTCAGGGAGTTGTAGAGAGAGATGAGGTCAGGCCTGAGCCTCCTTTGGTACATGATGCTGAGCTTGGTGAGCTCATCTGCAGCTCCCTCATCACCCTAGGATGGATCCCATGGACTTATGAGCATCTAAGTGACTCAGTAAGCCTCTAACTGCTTCCTCCTGGATCACAGGGGGACTATTCTACTCCAGCTCAGGAGGCCAGTTGTCCTGAGGACAAAGCAACTGTCTTAATGTTGAAAACTGAGGCAAAGAAGGTGTTAAGTACCTCAGCCTTGTCCCCATCTTTGGTGACCATATTCCCTCACTGTGTCCAACAAAGAATGGGGGTTTTCCTTGGCCCCCCTTTTGCTATTAATGTATTTATAAAAACAGTTTTTACCATCCTTTAAAGAAGTGGCTATGTTAAGTTTTAATTGAGCTTTGGCCTCTCTAATTTTCTTTCTGCAATTATTTCCTTTGCATGGACATTTTACAATTCCATGGTCATTTTACAATTTGCACTCCTGTGAACCTTTATTTACACACTGGCTCTCCTTAATCCCTCACCCTGGTGCCATAAATGTTATTACTAAGATCTTCAAGCTTTTCTTTATATAACAAAAAAGCAAAAGAACTGTCAACTAAGATTTAGAATTCAAATCAAATGCCTCCTGACTTCTCAAGGTATAGAAAACATGTAGCTTGAAGCTGAGTCACAGGAGGTTTAGACTGGATCAGGAGGTTTAGGCTGGATATTAGGAAAAGGTTCTCTCATCCAGAGGGTGGCTGGGCACTGGAAGAGGCTCCCCAGGGAGGGGGTCACAGCACCAAGCCTGGCAGAGCTCAAGAAGTGTTTGGACAATGCTCTCAAGCACATGGGGTGACTCCTGGGGATGTCCTGTGCAAGGCTAGGAGTTGGACACAATGATCCTTGAGGGTCCCTTCCAATCCAGCTTATTCTATGACTCTAGGAATATTCAAATCAAGGTACATTAGAGTTTTCTTTGCATCCATTTTACAGCTTCTTAAACAACTGCTCTAGAATTTTTAATCCCCAGTAGCAGTTCTGTATCGGCTTGAAACACTACAATCTCTTTCTTTGGCCAATGCCATTTCAATTACAAACACAATACCTTGTTTTCACCATCCTTGTTTAGATTAGATGTAAGAATACTTGAATATATGTGTGAAAGAAGAGTCTTCTTAAAACACATTAAAAAAAGAACAAAATATTTGTGACTTTGGATACCCGAACTCAGTTGAGATAACCTCTGCAACACATGGCTCCACATTTACAGACAGTTCTGATGCTCTTTTTGGATGGGCTAAGACCTTCAGCAGAGTCTGAAGTCAGATCTATTGAACCTGCAACACAGATGAACACAAGTAAGAAAGTTCTAATAGACAGACTAAGATCATGCCCAGTGTTCAAACAGCTTCTAAAGGCCTTCTAACAGCCCAGTTCAAAGAGCTGTGTGTGAAGCTCACTCAGATTCTACTGACACCCTTGTTACAGCTGCTTGTACAACACCTGGCATACACACCAGAATCCAAAACTCAGCCTTCATCTTTGTATCCCCCAGGTATCCACATGGATTAGCTGAGAGTGCAGCTGGCCTTCAATGGCAGTGCCACAAACAGAGGGAAAGAGGAGTTTTAAGATTCAAGATCAATTTGGCAGTGTGGTGTTTTAAGCCCAGATGGCAATGAAATACCACACAGACACTTGCTCACTTCCACCCCAGCAGAGCAGGGAGGAGAAGCAAAAGTAAAACTTGTAGGTTGAGATAAGAACAGTTGAATAATTGAAACAGTAAAATATTGTAATAATTATGATATTCTGATCATGCTGATACTGATTATTATTATTATTAGTAGCAGTAATTGTAAAAAAAAGACCAAACCTGGGTGCTGCACATACAATTGCTTACCTTTGGCTCATTGATGCCCAGAGGCCATCCCTGAACTCTGATCAGCCCCTTCTGGATATCTCCCCAGTTTCTGCACTGGGCATGACATTCCCTGGCATGGAATATCTCTTTGACCAGTTCATCTGTCTACACTTCCTACTGGATTTTTTTTTTTACATTTTTTTTTGAGTACCTCCTCACTAGTAAAGCCTGAGACACAAAGAAGCTCCTGATTTAAGAAAACATCAGTGAATTATCAACACTATTCTCATACTGAGTCTAAAACACAGCACTGTACCAGCTACTGAGAAGAAATTAACTCTATCCCATCTGAAACAGCTGTTCCATAGAACCTACATCCACAACTGAGGCCTAGAGGACACCAGAATTTAAAGACAAACTGATGGTGCCTCATGCTGCTGAACTGTTACAACTGCCTTAGTATCTATCTTAGAAACTATCACTAGCAGACTACCTAGCAAGCAGTTTACCTAAAATGCTGATTTGAATAAAAGAAAGCTTTATTTAAGAGCAGCCTGACCATTCCTCTGAGCATTCCTGGGACAAAGCTTCAAAACCATTTGCTTCACCAGTCAGTCTAGCCACAATCCCTGATGTGCTAGGAGCACTGAGGGAGGCAGTGCACTAGAGATGCAGGCAAAAGCTTCTGGGTGTGCTCCTCTCTGCACTACACATCATGAGCAATGACTGTTCTGAAAGCCAGAGCTATGTTATAAAAAGCTCTGCCTGAGCTAAATGCTACCATCATTCAGGCTGCAGTAAAACCCACCAGCACCCCAAAACTTCCACAAGAACCAATGTTAAAATGTGCAGACCTTTCATCTGGTAGTCAAAGGTTAGCTCTTCTCCAGCCTTGATGGTCCGGGTAGAGAACAGCGCTATTCGAGGAAGACGCAAGTCGAGGTTATCAATAAACACATTGAAGACTTGAAGATTTGGATCACACTGTAAGCAAAAATTAATGCAATTTCTGTTTAGAAAAATTAACATTTAATATCACTGAAGTGTTTAAATAAACCAAGGTCACAGCAAAGAAAGAATGGGTTCTTGTCTCAGTGACAGAAGTCTGCAATTATCTTCTGAAATCAATAAATTGAAATAATGAAATAATAATTCCTAGCTCAGATTTAAGTCCTTCCAGGAAGGAAACCTTTGCACAATGTGCAGACTACTAATATGCAACAACCTATAAAAAATGGCACCTTCAAAGGTGACAACAAAAATGGTGACAAAATAATTAGGGCCTACTCTAGGCCAATGTAGGCTAATACTAGCCTACATTCAGAGACTAGTATGTACCAACAAAAGCCACAAAAAGAATTAAAGTTGAAAGAAAACTAAAAACAACCGAGTGTTTCAAGCCCCACAAACTCACTGCTCTGTAGTGATGCTCAAGCACTGCTTCCAGGCCAGAGATAACATCTTCATACTATGCATGAATTTCTACTGTAAACTGCAAACCTGCTTGGCTTCTGAATTCCCTGCCATGGTCTGGGTGCTAGGAGGAGGGTGAAGGTCACTAAGCTGGAACTAGAAACCATTTCTTCATTTTGTCTGGATTAAGTGTCAAAAATCAGTAGTCCCTGAGACTGTTAAATTCTATTAAATTCTAAATGTTTTTTTATTCTTTAACAGTGAAATATATCACAGATTAAAGAATCAGAAGTGAAGTTACAGACATCTAAATTTTCACTGAAGACTGAGAATACTTCACTCCCATTTGCGAAAGTGAAGAGCAATTGTCTGTATCTAAAATTCTCCTTCATCCTTCTCCCTGGCAAGCCTGCATGAAATACAAATATCATCATCTCACAGACCTGAAGACATGAATTTTCTGTATTTGTAGAATACTGACTGCATACCTCACAAACATTGGATTAGTAAGAAATAATAATATTTAGTTCAGGAATCCTTACAAATGCAGCTCAGCTTTCTTGCCTTAGGTACTTCAGTTGAACTTCAACAAAACACTACAAAAACTGCTTGTGAAAATTTACTTTTGAGTACTTTGGCAAATTTAGATTAGGAGGAAAATTTATATTTCACTGCTGTAGATACCTAAGAAAGCACAGGAATTTTCTCTTTTTTCCTCTACCAAGTTTGCAGGATGAAAGTCAGAGTAACATTCCATCCTGCCCAGCTACAAAATAACACATTAATTCCTGTAATCTCTGACTCCTGGGAAATTTCATTAAGGAACTGTCACATGTTAAGTATTTCAGGTACTCAGAAAAAACACACCCAAACCAACCCTATTTTTGTTGTCTAGAACCAGCTGATTCAGTCAAAATTCCAGTTCTATAGGATGTCCACTTCAGGCAGCATCTCTGCCCCAGATTTTTGTAGGCAGTCAATCCAAGTAAGGCCCAATATTCTGTTCTATTTATTACATCATCTGATTAAATGGACTGTGCTGGCATGAAGCAAACTACTCCAGAAAAACTGTGAATACAGTAAGGAAATATTTACATTAGAAGGCATTTCTAGCACAATTAGAATAATTCTCCAAATTCTTAGTATGCAAAACAAAGTCTTACACTGTGGTTCACAAAGTGGGATACATTTCCATATCGAGCTGCATCTACTGTAAATTCATCTGAGTCATAGTCCAAGTCAAACAAGTAAGTATTTCCCTGGTTGTCATAGAACTGGCCTCGCCTCTCTGCTTCCTCACTTGTAATCACCTAAAAAAAAAAAAAAAAAAGAATAAAGAAACCTGCATCATGTTATTAATTATTACTAAATCAAAACAAAAATCACAATCAAGTTAGAAAAAAAAGTTAGAAAAATACTTAGCAAAAAAAATACCACACTAAGTTTTTGATGTTGAAATAGCATTCCATCATTCCATCTAATGAATGAAGAATACATAAGAGTACATACAGCTGAACTAATTATTTTGATTGAGGCTTCTCTGGGTGCAATTTGTCTACAGCTGATGCACAGCACTACCTTGTCTCTGGAAAAAAACCCCATATCAGCACCCTCTACTAATAATTTTGATGATGACAATACAATCAGCTGTTTTTACTGAAGTTTCTATATACACTTTTTCCATTAGACCCAGAAAGCCTCGTTTACTTCACACAAAACCAAGATTCAACCTTTTCCCTTTGCAAAGATGATCAACAGGTATCAGTCTTTAAACCCCAGCCACATTTACAGCCTGATATTCATTTCCTCTCTTCCCAGAAGCATCTCTTCCTGCTATTTTTGACTGCAATGAAAGATCCTATTCACTGCAGCTCAGTCACATCACTTCACAAAGCTCAATCTATTCAACATCTACTAGACAAGTGTGTCACTCTCAACAGATGAAACAGCTTCAACAACTTCATCTGCAGCCTGTCACATTAAACACATTCTGTTGTGCAGATTCAGCAAAGAAATCATAATTTTGCAGCAAGAGAGATACAAAATGTGATGGAATTGGACAATGAATCCCTCTAAAATCTGACAGATGAGATTTGAGAACTCAGCAGTAGATATTAAGTAGATTCAGGTGAAACAGTAAAATACACACTCTTTTCTTTAAGCAACAAAATCACAGAATCACCTTTGAGTGAATGCAGTGTATGACCTTGTGTATATTTAAAGGAAATGGATGACCATGAGAAGAAGCTTTGGGGCAGGAAGCATGGGGGAAATCTACTAAACACCAGAAACATTGTACAAAGGGACAGAAGGCAATACTTTGAGTCAACATAGTAGCAAGGCAGATTTGTGGTAGAAATGAAACACAGTGTAACAGAGAGGCTGCCAGGAACTGCTGGTGTGAGGAGCCCTGGAACAGAGCAGAGGCTGAAGCGCATAAACACAGGGCAATACAAACCTCAAGAGTAGCTCAAGGTCTGTATTTTATAACATAAAAGTTCTCTTGGAAATAGTATGAGATTGAATAAGCAGATAATGTCTGTATTATGAATGTTACTCTTGCTGTTAATCAAAAGCAATAAATATGCTTGGAAATACTACCTTAGAAGTGCAGACAGAAAAGGGACTTAAAGTCTGTGCAGGGAGTTTCAAAACAACTGTGCTTTGGGAATGGCAAAAAACTACAAAAAAGATGATCAGGGAAGAATGAAGAAGATGATTGCCATGAAAGAAATTAAGGACTTGCCTTTAGAAATACTATTAGGGCATTTATCTAAAATAATTCTTTAGTGCCATATGAGATAAATATTCTCTTTACTTTTGACCTTTTACAACTGCTCTGGAATGAAGGAATGTTCTAGACAACATAATTTTGCTGTCAACTTGAATGTCCCTCTCTCTCTACTCAAAAGCAGACTGATCTATTATACAGTAGAATTGCACAGTATCCTGAGTTGGAAGAGTCCCACCAGGATCACCAACTCCTGGCCCTGCCCAGGACATCCCCAGGAATCACACCATGTGCCTTATTGTCCAAACACTCCATGAACTCTGTCATGCTTGTTGCCATGATCACCTCCCTGCAGAGCCTGTTCCAATGTCTGACCACCCTCTGGGTGAAGAAGTCAAGAAGTGTGAAAACTGAGAGAAAGCTCATTAAGACTTTATCTAACATTTCCTTGATTACATGTAATTCACCTCTACAAGATAAATACATACCTACCTCTCCAACATACTCCATCACAAAACTGTTGGTTTTAATTTTCTGGAGGGTTTTTACTCCCCAGCCACGGCCGTTGTTGGTTCTGAAGATGCAGAGGGAATATGGGGTCCCTTTCTGCACAATCCTATTGGGGCAGTCAGGCCCACACCTACAATATGAATTGCACTCATAGATGGGCAAGCCAGGCTGGATTTTCAATTTCTTACGTTTATTGTAAGCCAAAATAAACCCAGCCTCCTTTGGACAGCACTTCTCAGCAGGGCAGTCAGCACATTCACAGCCACTTGTTATTCCATTGAGCACATTTATTCCTGGAGCAGGTTTATACTCATTGATGTAGTAGAAGTCTAAAGGAGGGCCTTCAAGATCCACAGTGTTTTCTACCAGAATCATTGCTTTGTGATTCTTTTTCCTGTTGAGTTCTTCTTTCCACCTCTGCAGAGCTATTCTTTGTTTAGCCTTCTTTACAACATAATCTGCAATTGCAGGTTTCAGAGTTTTAACGTGGTTTCTCAGTTTCATTGCTTTGCCTCCTCTCCCCCGAGACAAGTATTCATTCTTGTCTCTAAGAAAGTTCTGAATAAGCAGAGGGCAGTTCAGATGTTTCCGAGGTTCCCAAGTATTTGAAGATTCTGGCCATCCTTTCCATTTCACAAGATAGTATGCTTTGCCCTTGAAATAGAGAAACAGATACAGATTTAGCCAGAGCTCATGTTGCTGAAATCCACCATTACAGAACACAGACAAACACAAGAGATCTGGACTTAAGGATCAGCACACAGGGCAGAAGGCCTTGATGTCCCCATAAAAATTACAGCTGGGGAGAAAGAGAAAAATCAGGTTGTTTGCAAATTAACTTATAGCACAACTTTTCATACTTTACAAATTTTCTCTAGGGGCAAAGAAATCCAAAGCTGGGATGAACTCTGCTAACAGCATACCTGGAGGAGGAGGCTAGTTTGTCAAGGCAGGTGGTAAGTTATGCTAACTCGCTGTATGACTCCTATGCACAAGCAGACTGCAGTCGTATCACATACAGAACAAAAAAAATGCAAAATGTAGCAAAAAAAAGTCTAAAACCCACTATTGGTCATATCAACCATCCTCCCAGAACACTATTTAATTTGAAAAGTGTAACATTGTATTTACAATGAAGCAGCATACATTTTGCACTTATTTAAAAAGGACAAATAACTGTAACAAGGACAAATCCTGAGACTGAATTTCACAGGAATCCATTGGCAGCACATGGCCCTAATTCTTCATCAAACAGACTAAAAGAATCAAGAGAGAAATACACAAGGTTGTCTGTAAATAAAGGAGAGGCATCATAATTCATACTGAGCTACCACCCTAAAGCATCAGCATCAGATACACAAAGGTGAAACATTTCATATTCTAAATGTCTGTAATTTCAGGAAAAGATCATCCTTCCACATACTGAAAGTAGCAGTTTACACCACTTTCTGTTAAAAGTTTAAAATATATTTAATTTGATGCCATCAAAAGCTTTGTCCTCACTGTCTGATTCTTTATATTATGAGCAAAACTACCTTTTGCTTGCTTCCAAATTTCAGCTGAAAGAGTGATCAAATTGGTCTGTATTTCTCTTACCTCTTCTACCTTGTAGTCACACAAATATTCCACCTCATAACTCTTTAGACTCCTGTTGGTGATTCCAATGGATTTACATGTGAGATTTTCCTTCCTACATAATTCTTGGAGGGTCTCATGTGAAGCTAGGCATGGCACATACCAGGCTACAATAAGAAAATTGGTAAAGAATCCTATTTAATGTCTCAGCTAAATTGAAACCATTATGCCTCATCCCAGAGTCCCCACACTACCATTGGTGACAGCAGTCCACGAGTCTCTTGTACAACTGCAGCGTCTCCAACTCAACCCTTCCCTAACGGGTCAAGTGAAACACGTTCATGATTCCCTCCCTGCACCTTTATTCTGCACGGTACGTACGCATCCAAACAACAACAAATATTTTGGAGGGCAGAGACTTCCACAGGTGAAAGATACACTAAGCACCAGCAATTTTTCTACAATTACCGCATCGCATAACTGAATTACGGCAAGCAGGAAACCTCCATTCTTTAACAAGACCGCCAAATTTCTGTAGTCAGGCGCAACTGAGTACTTGCGATGCAACCATGGTGACCGGACGAGGAGATAGAGACCCACAGCCCTTATCCGGCAGGATCGCGAGTGCCCGGTCAGCCAGGCGGATTTAGAGGGACGAGACATTCCCTCAGGGCGCCAGCGCCCGGGAAACAGCGGGATCGCGGGGCTGGATGGAGTCCAGAGCGGGAGCCGCCGCTGCAGGGCCGTGCCCGCCTCCCCCCGGGGCTCCGCGGGGCTCTCGCGCCCCGGCCCCCGGCGCAGCTCACGGCACTCGGGAGGGGGCGGCGGTGCCTTTCCCGCGGCCGCACCGGGATCCAGCGCCTCTCCCCGCGTCCCACCCCCGCTTCCAGCGTTACCCCAGGCACCTCCAGCCCTCCTCGCACAGCTCCCCTGGGGCAGCGGGCAGGATCCTCAGGGCAGCGGGCAGGACCCCCAGCCCTTCCCTCCCCGCCCGCCGGGGGTCTGTGGGCAGGGGCGGTGGGAATGGTCCTGACAGAGCCGAGCTACAGGGACCGGTAGCGGCTCCCACCGCCGAAAGCCAGCGGGAGCTTCCCCACCCATCCTTCCCCCCCGTCCGTCCTGCCCCCCAGCGCCCCGGCGGCCGAAGAGCCCCGGGCGGCCGCAAACCCCGGGCGGCCGCGTCCCCAGCCCGCTCCCCCCTCACCTCCCCGCCAGCCCTCCATGTTGGGGAGTGGGGGGGGGGAACAGCGCCGGCTCCGCCCCCCGCCGGAAGGGGGCGGAGCGCAGAGGGCGGCCCGGGCGCGCGCGCGGCTCCGCCCGCCCTCCCCTTTCCCGCCTCTGCCGTGAGGGGCCCCCGGAGGGACCGAGCCGGAGAACGGCTGAAAGGCAGCGGGACGGAGTTCAAGCCATTTTGCTTTTGTTCTTACTGAGCTCTGCAGTGCCTGGGACAGGCGGGGGAAGCGCGAGGCAGTTTCTTTTCCGGGTCCCTCAGCTGCAGAGCTGAAAAGAACCTTGGAGAAATGGTCCCGGCCTTACCCTCACTCCTCAGATGCGGGGTTTACTATTAATGTAGCTTCGACAGAATCGATAAGTTTACAAAAGGCCTCTGAGATCAAAGTCCAACCTATGACCAAACACTACCGTGGCGACCAGACCATGGCAGTGAGTGCCACGTCCAGGCTTTCGTTAAACACCTCAGGGTGTTTAATTAACCACCTCCCTGGGGCAGCCCATTCCAATGTCTAATCACCTTTAATGTGAAGAAATTCCTCCCACTGTCCCACCCAAAGCTCTCCTGTCACAGCTGAGTCACTAACCTCTCATCCTGGGGCTCTTTTTCCCAGGGAACCACTGACAGGAAGGCCCCGTTCAGGCAGGTAATGGAATACAAGCCTCTGGAAACCCAGACTGGGAGCCCTTGCTGTGTTCTCTAATTCTTGAGGCTTCTCTGTGACACTTGCAGTGTTTTACACTGTTGTAAGCACTGAACTGTTGTCCCTTTACTGCACTTTAGGTTGACACCCTCATATTCCATAACCACACTTGCCTGCTCCATCTCATTATTGAAAAAACCTGCCAACTGCTACCCACACAAATGTATGACAATACAGATTTAAAACAGTACCACACATAATGGAGATTGCCAGGATCTGCATAAAAAATGTATTTTTTAATAACATATAAATAAGCACACTTAATTCTTACATTTCTCAGGTAATATGAAAAAAAACATTTTACAGAAAAAACTTTTGAAAAAAAAAATTCATCTGCTCAAGAGGCCAGCACAAATGGGCTCCACCTTCATGGTTTTGGGCAATATCAAGACACCACAGGATTCTGGTATAAAATGAGTAGATTTTCACCAGTCTCATTCTCACTGGTTCAGAGCTATACTATTGAAGCCACAGGTGCACTGGCTGAATGGGTACAAGACCTGATTAGTCAAGGAAAAATCTTCAAACTATGTAATATGCTTGTTGCTGAACCACAGGCATTTGTGCTTTGCATTTTGTAAACCAAGTGCTGGTAATTCAACAATCTGCTGTTCACATGTCTTGACTAATGTTTTGCACCACACTCTAAACAGACTTGGTGGCAAAATAACTTGGTGGCATTTTAGTTTATTACAGTCCTCTAAGAATCATGAGAGACATCACAGAGAGTCACTGCTTTGGCAGAAAAGCCAGTAAGAGACAAAAATCAAGTTAGAAAAATGTTGCCTTCCAAAATGGCCTATGATGCCACTTCAACAGTGATGATTTCACACTTTCCAGTATCTTGATCTGTGCAGGTGACGTGCAAGGACCCATCCCTAGATAAAAGAGAGAGTTATGTTTAGGATTATCTCAACACCACACTTACTGCATGTGACAGAGAGGATAAGCAACAGTGTTCACACAGATGAAAGGATGACAGATCAGCATCAAAATATCCAGGGACAAACATGCTTCAACACAGATGAAATGGGTTTATGAAATTAAGTTTAATTTAGTCATTGTTTTCATATGCACTTTTTGCCCTTAAAGCATCCATCTTCTCTACATATGTTGGAATTAATCAAAGAACACATTTAAATATTGCAATTGAATTTATTTTCTACAGGTTTGTAAATAGAATATATGGTAATATTATTCAACTGAGTAAGAGCAGTGGATTGATAAACATTTCTTGTCATAGCATGAGAACTTGACTTCTGAAGTGTAAGTAGTCTTTAAATTCCAAGGATCTCCTTCAACAAGGAAAACCTTAATTGTTAAAATCCAAGACTTTAGAAACAGTATTGAGCCCTATTTCAGCTAGGCATACAGTCACACAGAGTAAATTTAGGTACAAATAGATGTTCCCTAATAAACTTCTCTCCCTTTTACACTCAAATATTTCTTAAACCTCCTTCCAAATAATGATGTTTTTCTGCATGACAGAGTTGCATCTATAATCTCCAAAATGTTTTCCTTATCAGTGCTCAGTATAAATCTCTGTATGACAAACCAGGCATTTTGGGTGAGGTCTGTTAACAGGCATTAATACACCTGACAGCTAACATAAGAAAATGAAGTATTTTGAAACTTAAATAGTAAGTAGAAATTTCCTGTGGCACTGTTTCTCTGTTTAACAAGCCTGCCTCTGAAAGGACAGGGCCACTGTAAATTCTACAATCCTTCATAACTACAAAAGACAAAACCTCCTTCAGCTTTTCCCAAGAGTGTGGGCATTCAGCAAAGCTCCCCAACCCACTTCCAGAGGAAGTCTGAGATCCTGACTGCTCTCATGCATGGTCAAACTGATCAACAGTTCAGAAGTTGCTAAAAATAATCTACACAATTGTATTAAGCTTTGTTTCTTTAAGAATCAAACAATGACAGCACCAAAGGTACTGCAGAAAACCCACATTTCTACAGAATTTACCCCTGCTAGGACTGTACAGCCCTGTGACCAAAGAAATGCTGACATTTCTCTCTCTCAAAAAAAAATTAAATACTCTGTAACAGAAGCAAAGACTGTCAGAAGTGTGACATAGCAGGGCAAACAGCAGAACAAGTGCTTTGGGTACCTTTTCATTGTGAGAACAGTTAATATATCATGCAGGCCATTCTCCTTTTTATCTAAATCCTGGAGTACAATCTATTAAAAAAAAAAAAGGTTTGATTACATTAGATTTTTCAAGTTCTTGTTCAGCAGTTCAAGGGAAGTGACACAACAGCTAAGATGCTAAAATTCATGCATTTTAGCTATTTGCACTATTGTTTTTATGCTTTGGTTCAGGATGTATCCCCAAGATAGCTGAAGTACCTATCACTCCCACAGCATCCTTTAGAATCAGAACTGTAATTATTAGGTAACATCCCTTCCCTATCCCCTTTAAAGTTCTTTGGGCAGAATTAAGGTGGAATAACAATCTTCTTAAATATTCCATCAATTTCAGACACATTGCCCCTTCCCTGATGCTTTCCAAGGAAAGCACAACTGTTTCAAAAAAGCTGTGATCTCTCTGTAGGTTGATTCCTAAACAACTTTAAACCCTCACTTGAAAAAAACATTTCATCTTACCACTATGATAAACCAAATTCAATACTTAAATAACAATGTCCAGTCTAGGGAGATCAAAAAGGGAGATCAATACATTAGCTATACCATTTTCTTCATCAGTTTTATTTTTAAAATGTTCAAGGATCTGTGTATGACTGGAATCACTGGTAAAGATCTCTCATCCCAGGTGATCTTTTTACAGTAGTGCCATGTGTCAAACCCTGTCAGCCATTTAGGAATTCAAAAGGGAAACTTCAGTACTTTACAAAGTAGGTCAATATTTTGCATGTGCAGAAGAAGAATTAAAAGACCAATACCAAAGAAATGCATGTCACTGTAATTTCCTAACAATAAATTTTGGTGTTGGTGAAATTGGTTTCCATTTTTTTTCCCCAGGAGGCTGCTGTTAAAACTGCACAGGAGTGTGCACACACTCACCTGTGCAAATTTCTCTTCTTCATTCATGGGACTCTTCCCCAATGACTCGTAGAGCTCAAGGCACACAGAGGAAATGTTTCCAGGAGCATGCAGGGTGTGCTGCCTTCGAGCTGGCAGTGGTGTCCCTGATGGAAACAGCACTGTGAATTTGTCAGCCCCTGACTCGTCTACTCCCTTAAAAAAGAATAAAAAGAACATAGTTCATGTTTTTCTTTAAGTGCTTCATTGAGCTGCAAGTGTTACAACAATGCTCACAAGAAAAGAAGTCCAAGCTTCATTCCCTCTGTCACATGTACCATCCCAGCAAGTAAAAACCCTGACACTCCTACCAATGACAAGTCCAGCTATTGCAACATAGGAAAGAAACAATTACCTCCCCTTAAAATCAGTTTTTCCTGTCAATTTTTTTATCAATAAACCTAAGTTACCATTTACTGCTGATCTATAGCAAATCTGCAGCAGTAGTAACAAATCAACGCTGTTTCTCTAACATTGATCACACATAATCAGTGCTATACATTCACTGCAGCAGGAAAATTTTCTAATATTCTAATTTTAGCCTTACCTTAAGAAGAATATCTTTGGCAGAACACTCAATGAGTGCATCTTCTTCTAACAAGGTATTCTCTTTTCCTAGCAGAATTCCTGCCTCTATGGCTGCACCAATGGGAATAACTTCATCTGGAGGAATTGAATTCAGTAATTCCACAGTTGGGAAAATATCTTTGATCAGCTGCTGTAGCTTTGGGATTCGAGCAGACCCACCACAAAGAACTACCTGGAAAATACATCATAATAATCTCAAATCTTTAGTCTGTGAAATAAAACAGACAGGTCACACCCTGCTGTGCAAAAATGGAAACTGCTCTGGGATATTTTATCATCTGCAGTCGTTCATATAAAAATTGATGTAATCTTTGGTTTGGTTGACTTGATACTTTTGTTTTCTCTTACAGCAACTGTCACCTAAATAAAGTAACACCTTGAAAATTGAAAAATTCATCACAAAAAGAACATCAGGTTCAAAGGGACTTTCAAAGGTGATCTAGTCCAACCTCCTGGCCAGACCAGGCACAGTTACAACAGGCTGCTCAGGACCTTTCCTGCACAGATACTGTATTCCACAGACTCTGTAGCCCCTTAATTCAGCATCTGATTTCCCTCATACTACACATTCCTTTCCTGGAATCTAAAATTTCCCCATGCTGTAACTTGTGCTGCTTGCCACTCACACTTCCATCATGCACCTTTAGGAAGG